AGGGCACCTTTTGGGATGAGGACTGGGTGTTGTATGGAAACCAATTTGACAATAAATTTCATATATTGAAAAAAAAATTTGAAGAGAGTGTTCTGCAGCTTAAAAGAAAATAAAAAACAAACTTGAAAGCTGACGGTTTATTCCTGTGCTCCTCCTTGTGGAATTCTCCCTTCTGAGATCTGGCCTGCCAGGCACTGGCTTCTAACCCACACTGTCACTTTCTCTCCCCAGCTGCCTCTGCTGTCCCTGTCGCTGCACTGTTTCCCACTAGCTCACAGTCTCTCACCTCTGTGCCATGTCGTCCTTAGATTTCCTCAAAACCTTCCTGGAACATTTTGGAGCTTACTTTTTGACATAATGTTACTAAAAAAACCTTTTTTTTTATAGTATGCCTGTAATTATCTGTTTATCTGTAAGAATGGTACTAGGCACGATCACCCTCAGGTATGTGGGACGTTTACATCCCTAGATAGCCTTCATAAAGAATGAATTTGAGGGGTGCCTGGGTGGCTCAGTTGGTTAGGAATCTGACTTACTCTCAGGTCATGATCTCACAGTTTGTGAGTTTGAGCCCCGAACTCTCTCTCTCTGGCCCTCCCCTGCTTGTTGTCTCTCTCTCTAAATAAATAAATAAACTTAAAAAAAAATAAAAAGAATCAAGTTGAATATTTTTTCCTCTGCTTATCTTTGTACAGTGAGCACTATTTTTTTAATGTTTATTTATTTTTGAGAGAGAGACAGAAAGTGAGTGGGGGAAGGGGCAGAGAGAGAGGGAGACACAGAATCTGAAGCAGGCTCCAGGCTCCCAGCTGTCAGCACAGAGCCCGAAGCGGGGCTTGAATTCACAAACCGTGAGATCATGACCTGAGCCAGTCAGACACTTAACTGACTGAGCCACCCAGGTGCCCAAGTGAAAAAGTACTATCTGGTCTTCTGGTAGACAGACATACAGCTTATTTCCTGCTAGTGTTTTGTTTTTCTCTCCTTCATCAAATAACATTCATGAAGTTGCCATAGAAAGTAAATTAAACACATGCCTGAACATTAATAATTTGCCATGGCAAAACTAGCTTGATTTTTAAGAAGTTAATGTCACACTTCACTGACATCATGTGACACAGGTAAATTCTACTTACCTGCCACCACCTCTCATTTATCCTTGGAAGTGTAGGAAAGGAATGACCTGAGTAAATTACACCTATAAGTAATCCAGATATCCTGCTTTCATCCATACAACTGTCCTTACCAGCCCTGAAACCTTTTCCAGGACCTGCTAATAGTGCACAACAAAATGAATGTCTGAACACACCTGAAACTGTTCAGCCTCTGAAATTGCTGTTAATGAGCCTGGAAAAGAACAAAAGGCTGAAAGGAAATCAATCAAAGGGCAACAAATAAGGAAATCAGTCCAAAACAAATGGGAGTTGATTCTTCTTTTTTCTATCAAAGTAACATTGTGTATGTTATTACTGCTCTCTTCACCTGGAAAATCTCTGATGCTGTTCAGTGTACATAACAATGAACAGTGAGTGATAAATATATAATAACTCTTATTTCTTACTGTTTATATTCCCTCCTATACTGAGACCCTCTCGTGGCACTAGGGCCACAAAGCTAGGCAAAGTATGAGAGCATCTCCTGAGATGCTTTTTCTAGTAGAAGGGAAGAGAATCTAGGCAGAAGTATTCAAACATTTCATTCTTTTTTTTTTTTTCTGCATCATACAGTGTTCATTTTAAAATTATTTCCAGCTAAGGTTCTATTCAAGACTTTATAGTTTATATTCCAGAACCAGACATACAGAAATCTACAGACAAGTTGGCCTATAATTAACAATAATAGAACCAGGGCCATTTCAGGCAGGTGAAAATAAAGATCTGTTTTTACCTATTTGTGATATTCTTTATCACTGCTTTCTAGATATAAATT